CCCCCCTCCCCCCCGTTTGTGGGGACATTCTTGGTCAATGGTAGTCAACTTTGACTAATGATTTTTTTAATACAAAATAATTTTGAATATGAAAATTATATTAAGATGTTCCTTATTGAAAATATTTTCATAGAAGTGTAAAATTTATAAATTATATACAAATATAATAATTATAATCATTATCCAAAGTTTGCCATCATTGAACAAGAAAAGTCAATATGGCAAACCTTTTTGGGACGGAGGTAGTAATATTCACCATGTGTTTGACGTTTGTGAAACATGTGTGATAACATTGGAGTGAGAATTTGATCCCCTGACCAAATTTTTTGTTTAGGCCAATGAATCGACATGGGCCAACTACTATATTACACTTGGGCGATTCAAGCATAAGAAAATGATGACATTGTGGTGACATGGACCAATTATATGCATTTTAGTTACGATACTCTCACTTGTTAGTGAGGAACCATAACATTCACTAGTTAGTTATAAGTTAACTTGGCATTTATCATCCGATGTTTTGGATTGAGATGGTGGAATTATGATTCCATTTCTTCATCTTCCTAGCCAGTATATTACTGAGTCAATTTTTGAAACCTCAAGTATAAATCCCATAGAACAATGTTAACAGCCTTAATTGTTTCAGGTGTCCAAGTACCTTGTCCCCAAAATTAGGTCTATCCCTACAAGTGGTTCGACAAAACCGACTTACATTCATTTTCTCACCGGATTGAAAGCATATTCCCAGATATTCTTAGTAAGTATGAAAAAACCAGCATATTCCCAGATATTCTTAGCAAGTATGATAAAAAGCAGCATTTTTATGTGGTATTCTATCTTCATTAGAGGCTGATGTGTTTTGTTTTTGTTTATTGGTTTTTTCATTTCATAAAACCATCGTTCATTAACCTGGCATTCATTCTTTGTGGTACTCTCTATCTATTCAGAGGATTGCATTTGGTGTGAGGAGGAATCGACATATTTTTGAGGATTGACAAAATGGAATCTGCGTGCAAAGCATGTGCATTCTCCAGCATTTGCCAATAGCATGCAAACATAAAGGCCATTGTGATCTGTTTTCACTAGAATTTGATCAGCGCCGAGACATTCACTAGGGATGAATATGGCCCGGTGTGGGACGGTTCTCTTAAAGAACCTTTCTCGTATCAAATTACAGTTGTAGAAAACCAGAAATCAAGTACCGGTTCCAAATACAAGTGGCGCCTATTCCGTTCCCTACCAATTGTTGGTACTATACTTCGGTACCATTTAGTTCATGAATAATATACATAATAAAATTATGTACAAACTATAAATCAATATTCAAATGTTCAGTTTTAAAGTAGGAGTGTTTATCACAATTAATCATGAACAACCATTAGATTATAATTGCCAATAACTAATCAGGATAAGTTTGAACAACTAATAAATTCATCACAATTAGGTAAAATAGTACTCCGTAGTTCACAAGATTTGATAATTGATACAGTGATTAATTATGAAGGCTAAATGAGTGCTGTCTAAAACAACACTACTATAGCGACTAATGTCTAGTTATATATTATACTAGTATATTGTAGGATATGATATCCGATACATTATACTCCGGTATTTTAAAAATTGCTATATTAGCTTTGACATTCACTAGTCAAAACTTGGTCATTGGGTCTCTATATCTTATTGGCCACTATCACAATGGACTGAGCTGCTTGTGATCGTTGTTAGGCCTTAAAAAAAAGAAGAGATAGTGATATGGACTACTTGAGAAGAAATTTAGTGATTAAATTAATTTGGATTATTTAAAATGTCCAATTAATTTAATTATAAATCAAGTCTTTAAAAAAATGGACCAATCCTATTAATTTTTCCATTTTGAGCCCATTATCAAATAGTGGCTCAATATATAAGAGCCATGATTCGATTGATAAAGTGAACAACGAATCTGGCTAAGAAATCCTTCTATATAGCCCAAAACCCATTTTAATTGAGGCCCAAATTAGCCTTAGACCCGTTTTGGGCCACCCAGCCCGGGAACCGGCCCAGCCTGCTACTGTGCGGGCCCGGCCTGGCCCGGTGCTTTGGGCCCCAAACCGGTTTATGACCCGGTTGTATGGAATAAGCGGGGCAGGCTCGGGCTGTACAAATGGGGACCCAGCCTGGCCGGGCCCGAGTGGGGTTCAGGCCAAAACTGTTTTTTTTTTTTTTTTTTTTTTTTGTATTTTCAGTTTTTTTGGGTTTCCCCGGGTTGGGCTTGATGTTTTGGGGGGGTGGGGGGGTTGGGGGTGGGGGGGTGAGGCCTGAGGAGGGGGGGGGGGGGGTAGCTAGGAAAGAAAAAAAATTACAAGCCGGCCCGAGGCCCGGCCCGGCCTGAACCGGACCCGGTGGCAACCTGGGCCGGTCTCGAGCCTTCCCCCATCCACAAAAGGCCCGGCCCGGCTGCATGCCTAGCCCAAATGATATGAACGAATTTTGGGAACCCTAAGTGTTTACTTCTCTGCTAAAGTTACAGTTAGGTTAGCAAGACATGTGAATTAAACACGCACGCTGCTTAAAAAGTTGCTTACTAACCGAAAGATGTGCTTAAAGTGCTGGTTACTAAGCATACCACCTCCCATGTATTAATTAAGCGGCACTTTAAACCTTTTTAGTTTCCGAATTTACACTTACCCCTTGCCCTATTGTCACCCCTCTACCTGCTACACTCTACCCACATCGCCCTACCCTACTACCCCGACCCCACCCCGGCCCCGACCCCACCCCTACCCACTACTCCATCCTTATCCCTCACCCCTACCCTACCCTACCCCGACCATCAGGCCCGGTCCTGACATTTTGTAGACCCGGGACATATTACAAAAAATGGGCCCTTGAAATTACAGAGCTAAAAAACAAATTTTATTATAAAAGCAAAGTTCAATGCAAAAAATTACAAAACAATTACTTGGAGCATTCTCATATGAAAAACCATCTGTTTAAAATATTTAGAAACATTAGCGTGGAATCTGGTTGGTTGTTGACAAATTATAATTAAAGATTAAATAAAGTTCCTCACGAAAAATCAAAAGTAATGACACATTTTTTTAACGGAGGCACACTGTTATTATGTTAATTGGAATTACCGAATTAACAAATCATCAAATCACACAACACAAATGACAATTCATCAAAAAATCAAAATTTAAACCTCCAAAATCAATTGTACCATTTGTACGGCAACTAGGTTTTAAATATAGGTGACAACTCCGGTAGCTTTCTAAAATATGGGGTACCGTACCTATCATTCATTTGATTGGACCACATCACATTATTATTTTTAATTTAGATTTAAATAATTCAACTGCTACATTCTCATTGGTCCATGTGGACAAAAGTATGATACCTTATGAGTACGATAGAATTTACCTTAAATATATAGGCATATTCTAAAGTAAATGATGAATGTTAAGAGATAAAGTAAATCACCTCCACAAATTCACAAAGCCACATTCATGGGTCTACAATTGTCACGGAAGAGAAATTGAGAGATGAATCCGAAGAAAGAATATAATTGAATACCGGATAAAGTCATAAAGCTTGAAAAGAATAATATAAATCAAAACTACTCCGTATATATTTACCCCGTAAAAGAGAAGAAAATATTATGGGGAAACTGTCAAATAGGTCCTCGAACTTTCATAAAAAAGTCAATTAAGTCCTTCTATAGGAAACTCTGTTCGGTCGTCGCGATTTGGGGTGGTTCCTGGTGGAATATTTTGATGAAATTTTTTGAGCATCTTATTCATCAAGTCTAGTTTACTCATACCAAATTTTAGCTAAAAATTTAATCGGGAGCGCATTCAAATTAATTCGAGAACGCAAAAATGCGCAGTTATCTTCAAGAATTAATTTAAATGTGTTCTCAATAAAAATGGATGAGTTTTTCACCAACTTTTGGTTTCACCAATAATAATTTATAAAATATTTACAATTACATTATCAACACCAATAAAACAAATAAATTTATTATGTACTCGTGCATTTGCAACTCAAATTAATTTTAATTAGATATTTCACCCGTCCTTTATCTGATTTTTTTATTGATACAATTTTAGTAAATTACAAATGGTAGCACAAAAGAAATAAATTACAAATTCTCCAATTAATAATCATGTATGAGAAATTGTATGAACATACCACGTATTATACTACAAGTTTGACCCCTTAAAAAAATACGTCAAGGGAATAATGTATAGTAACAAAGAAATATTTAGCCTCTGAATGAGGGTATAATTTTTAGTTTAGAAATAAAAAAACTGGCTAGCCCCGTATTAAAGCTAGAGCATATATATATATATATATATATATATATATATATATATATATATATATATATATATATATATATATATATATATATATATATATATATATATATATATATATATATATATATATATATATATATAAGAATGTTCAGGTCCGAACGTTCGGACGGGAGCCTTCGTCCGAACATCGCCATTTGGGGCGGTTCCCGGTGGAATTTTTTGATGAAATTTTTTGAGCATGTTCCTCATCGAGTCTAGTTTGTCCATACCAAATTTCAGCTCAAAATTCGATCGGTAAGACATTCAAATCATTTTTTGAAGTTGACTGCGTTTTTATATGTATATTTTGACGCAGTCAACTTCAAAAAATGATTTGAATGCCTTCCTGATCGAATTTTGAGCTGAAATTTGGTATGGACAAACTAGACTTGATGAGAAACATGCTAAAAAAATTTCATAAAAAAATTCCACCGGAAAGTGTCCCAAACGTCCATATATATATATATATATATATATATAGGGGCATATATACCCCATGATGAATGGCAAGAGAGGAGTGATGCAAGCTAGATTTCAGTCAATAATGCATGCAGATGAAAGTCACATGCACGTTTCGTCTTTGTCATTTTCCGGCAGCAAATAATTTGCCCAAATAAATATGAAAAGAGAAAATAAAAAGCCAATTAAGAACCCGGCCAGCCAAATCACAAGTAGCTAGTAGCTAGCAGCAACTTTAATTTGCCATGGCCGAGTTGGTGAAGAAATTAGCGGTAAAGGTCACGCTTATTATCTTGTTTTTTGTGATGGGGCATTACTCGGAGCAAGTTCATGATCTTCCACAGTCTGGGGCTATGCAGAACATCATGCGGCAGCTGAGATCCCCGGCAGAGCTAAGCAGCTGGAGCGATTTCTGCAACATTCCACTCCCAATCCTAACCCTCGTTTGCTATGGGGAGAACATAACGCAGCTTCATATCACTAGCCAATTCCTGCCCCGAGATATCTCCACTTCCGCCCTTTTCTCCAATCTCCAAGGCCTCCCTGACTTGAAGGTCCTCTCTCTAGTGTCTCTGGGTCTCACGGGCCCTCTCCCCTCAAGCATTGGGCTTTTATCTTCTTTGGAGATTCTGAACATAAGCTCAAACTGCTTCAGTGGTAGCCTTCCTGTGGAGATGTCGTCTCTCAAGAGCCTCAGGACACTTGTCTTGGACAATAACAGGTTCGCAGGCCAGGTCCCTGAATGGCTGGCTTCACTCCCTGCTTTGACTCTTCTGAGTTTAAGAAATAACTCTTTCACTGGTTCACTGCCCAATTCTTTGGCTACTTTAGAACCATTAAGAACCCTTGTTGCTTCTGCAAATAATCTGTCCGGGAATCTGCCCGATTTTCACAAATTGAGAAATCTCCAGGTTGTTGATTTGGAGGGCAATGGTTTTGGGCCCAATTTCCCCAGCCTGCCAACAAAGTTAGTGTCTTTGGTGTTGAGGAAGAACAGGTTCGGGTTTGGGATTCCAGATGGAGTAGTCAAGTGTTACCTGTTAAAAAAGATGGACGTTTCTTTGAATGAGTTTGCGGGGCCCTTCCCCCCATCTCTGTTGACAATGCCATCGATCGATTATCTGGATGTTTCTGGTAATAAACTGACGGGGAAGCTCTTCAAGAACATGTCATGTAACCCGGAACTCTGGTATGTGGGACTGTCATCGAACCGCTTGACCGGGGAATTGCCCGAGTGTTTGGAGCCGGGAAACGGTCACATAAAGGTTTCATACTGGGGCAATTGTTTGTCAAATAATGCAGATCAATGGCAGCATGGTTATGAGTTTTGTCGCAATGAAGCAATGGCTGTGGGAGTTGTTCCTAGGAGGAAACATGAGGAGAAAAAGGGACGTACTAAAGCCGTCCTCATCGCGTCGAGCATCATAGGGGGGCTTGTTGGAGGGGCGGCGCTCATTGGATTGGCGGTCTTCTTTTGTGTAAAAGAGAAATTTGCTGACAAGACGCCGCGTGTGAGGCAGATCATGGAAGACGTGTCACCCGCGTACACGCTGAAGCTACTAAATGACGCCAGTAAGGCAGCAGCATTTTGTGTTGCATCATAATTAGGCTGATCGATAGATGGATCGATCAATCATCCAATTATGTTTTCATGCACACAAGCATTCTCTAGCTAGCTAGTAGTTCTTTGACATGATGAACTAAGTGCACATAGAGAACACAACTAGGACTGTATTAATTAATGAAAAAAGAGTTGCAATAATGCTGATGCAAGTTAATTGATTGTGGCTTTGGCAGGGTATATTTCTGAAAGCAGGAAGTTGGGACTGCTGCTTGGCTTCCCCCCTTATCGAACTTTTGGTTTGGATGAGCTAAGGGAGGCTACTAATAACTTTGACGCATCCAATATAATAGCCGAAGGCTCTTGTGGTCAGGTAACCAACCATCCATCCATTCCAATTTAATATACATTGGAGTATAGTCCAACCTGGTCTGCTGCCCCAGCATAGGATTGAGCCTGGGACGTAGTGACTTGGTACAGTCACGGTGGCGGTTCATTAATATATTTATTTTCCTGTTTTGGATTTCAGATATACAAAGGCTTGCTAACCGACGGAACTGTGGTTGCTATAAGAGCCTTGAAGATGATGAAGAAACATAGCATCCAACACTACACTCACCAACTTGAACTCATCTCCAAAATCAGGCATTGCAACTTAGTTAGTGCTATAGGCCACTCCTTTGAGTATTATCAGGAGGATAATAATCATTCATGCGTCACCACAATATTTCTTGTATTTGAATTTGTGCCCAACAGAACTTTGAGAGAAGCCATTTCGGGTAAATAACAATGCCACTATAATATATTGTCAAATTTCCCATTTCGGCCGGATTTGAATGAATGAATGATAATGGTCGCAGATGGGCAAAAGTTTTCTTGGTCACAGAGGATGGCGGCTGCGTTAGGAATAGCAAGGGGAATCCAGTTTCTTCACACAGGGATAGTTCCTGGCATCTTCTCAAATGAACTCAAGATAACAAATATCTTACTGGCGGATCATCACATCCATGTCAAAATCAGCAAATACAATCTCCCTTTGTTAGCAGCAGCGGCAGCTGAGAATAATAAGTGTGATTTTAAGGAAAAAGATGATGTCTATGGCTTTGGAGTTATTTTACTTGAGATGATAGTGGGGAGGAAAATCATAACTGCAAATGACATTGATCTCTCCAAAGACATCGTAAGACTTCATCTCATTACTGACTTGTCATTATTATCTCCAAAGAATCACAGCAAGAATTGAAGCACTACAGCTTCTCACTCCTTTAATTTCCTCATCATCTTTTCTATATATGGTGCATGCTGCAGTTATATGTAAGCTTAGCAGCTGATGAGCTAGCACGGCGAAGCATTGTGGACCCCTCAATCTGCAAGGAATGCTCTGACCACTCGCTGAAAACCATGATGGACCTTTGCTTAAGGTGTGTTTCGAACCATGTGTCGGGTCGTCCATCCGTGGAGGACCTAATCTGGAATGTGCAGTTTGCCGCTCAGCTTCAGGAATTGTGGCACCGGGACTCCAAGCCTAGATGATTCATTAGAGTGAGTAATATATGAGCTGAGGGCTTGGTATTGTACTGAGCCAAATTAAACATATAAAAAGCAGACATTTCAAAAATTTATTTGAATGCTTCCCCGATCGATTTTTTTAGCTGAAATGTTTTGTGGATAAACTAGATTTGATGAGGAAAGTGCCCAAAAAATATCATCAAAAAATTCCACCAGAAACCGCCCCAAACGGCGGCGGCCGGACGGAATATCCTGTCCCTCCGGCTGGACAAGATTTTTTCCGTATATATATATATATATATGTGTGTGTGTGTGTGTGTGTGTGTGTATGGAAGAGTTCAAATAAAAAGTGATCTTCCCGTGCAAAGTACAAATTTTCACTTTTGCATGTTTCGCTTGCACTTTTGCTTATTTCCGCTGCACTTTTGCACAATTGCGAATTTTGTCAAAACCGACCAAAATGACGGTGACAGTTTTGTAAATAACTCGGTTTTTTTTCGCTACCGCAAAAAAGTGCAACAAGAACATGAAAACGTGCAAGCGAAACATGAAAAAATGCAAATTTCGCACTTTGCACGCAAAGACCACTTTTTATTTGAACCATCCCCTATAGTGAGAACCCCTTTTAGAATGAGAACTCATTTTAAAATGAGAACTTCTAATTTCTACCATTAATTTCTATCATCAATGGTTAATAATGACAAGGTTGATTAATTGCATAAGAATCCCTTTTGAATTTGGGTAATTATGAATATGACCCCATGTGAATCATAATCATTGATAACAATAAATGAAAGATTGAGATTTAAAGTTCTCATTATAAAGAGTTCTCACTTTAGGAGGGGTTCTCACTAGAACCCTCCCCATATATATATATATATATATATATATATATAGATGAGAGATCAAATGCAAACCCATCCTAATATGCTAACCTCCAAACCTAATCCTAACCCTCCATCTAATTAGATAACCGTTCGGTTCTACACGTTTGAAGACATCAAGCATATTACACAGAAGGGTGTTTTTGTCAATTGACTTAAATCTAATAATGGAAGAATCACGTTCCATTCCATAACCGCCTATACTCTCGTTAGATCCATTCCATCTTTGTGATTCTCAATAATTCCCTTCCATCTCTGCGATTAATATCTAGTCGTCTCCTTCATTTCTCTGCTTCTGTTCGTCTGCTACAAATATCAAAGCCTCTGGTTAATCTCTTTCAATCATTGTCATCGAACGCCATGGAATCCAGTATTCTGTATGAACTCAATCCAATTTTATACTGAAAATTTGTGGTTATCATCTTTCGATGTATTCATGAATCACTATGCGTAAGATTTTATTTATTTGATTGATGTGTATATTAAATGTTGATTGTGTCATCTTCCTTGTCTTTTTTGTTTAATTACTTTACTTTAATTCGTTAAACTTCATTTTACATATGTGGCCTTCGTTAATTTGCTTTTTGTTGATGTTAATTTCTAAACAATTTCTAGGACCACAGAGAAGGGATGATCCTGCTTATAAGGATTTTCATCACAAATTTGTTCTGAAGGAAGGGTACGGTGTTTGAGGAGGTACACGGTCAATTAGCAGGTTATGCAGTCAATTCCCAGAGCATTGGGGTGAATTTTTATTATATAGATGTAGGCATCAAGTTCTACAAAGAGTTTGCATCTATAGTTTGTCCCAAAATGATAGCAGGGATTACTTTGTATAGTAAAAAGGATTTGATAATATGAATAAGTTTATGTAGTTATGTTGTTTTGTTATTTTTGCAATGTATTGGTATGTAAATTGTAAACAAATTTGAGAAATGAATCTATTTCTACCTTTTCTTCATTGTAATTTATGTTTTGAACTATATGTACACATGTGTGTCACTAACTCTCATCCATTTTCGTATTACAGTTTGCACTTTACAACAGTTTGAAATGCATTCTCTGAAATGAGTGTCTAATAGGATTGGATGTAAACCTCTTTTAACTCTGAAATGATAAGATGCACATGATATAACCTTAATATGCATATCACAAAATGATAAGTTGCATGGTATTAACTTATAAAATGCACATGTCATAATGATGAAATGCAGTATGAACTATTAAAGTGCGCATATCATCGTACTACAGTGCAATATACAAACTTCTAAAATACACATGTCATGTTGCTAAAATGCAACATATGAACTACTAAAATGCAAAGTCTACATATGAACTTCATCCTACTAATAATGAAGATCTTGTATTCTCAATATGCATATCACGTGACATTTATATGCACATCATATAACCTTAATATGCATATCACAAAATGATAAGATGCATGATGTGAATTTCTAAAATGCATATGTCATAATGATAAAATGTGCGCAACTTAAGAACTCAAAATTGCAGACGCCATAACGATGAAATGCAATATGAACTATTAAAGTGCACATATCATCTTACTACAATGCAATATACGAACTTCTGAAATGCACATGTCATGATGATAAAATGCAACATATGAACTATTAAAATGCAACGTCGACATATTTTATAGCTATGTACTAGTAATATAAGTTATGTAGATATCATGAGTGTATAATGCACATCTTGTATGCTAAATATGCATATCATGTGACATTAATATGCACATCATATAACCTTAATATGCATATCATATAACACTATTATGCACTTGAAGTACATCCGTGTGCTTCAATTAATTATGTTGAACTATTGACTTCAACAATCAAGAGCTCTACATCTGACCATATTTAGGTTTCAAAAATGAATAATTTATTAAAAAGTGTTTCATTCTCTAAATTAAAAGAGCATCTTCAATGCTACAATGTGCACAATGCGCATGTGCCATGAGAGAGATAGACACATAAAAATGGAGAGAAATGTGAACGATTTATTTTACATTGTCTATCTCTCTCATGCCAAAAATGAAGAGAAATAGTAAAAAGGCATAAAAAAAATGATAACTTTCTTCATAATGGAAGGCATCTTTTTTTTTTATTTTATAAATTATGATAGGTGGATGCAATTTGTGCAATTAAGAGATCTTCAACTTACCTTTTTTAATATTTAGAAATGGAAGGTCAATCATGATGCAATTTATTTCTTCTTTCTTTATAATTAATCATTCAAAAAACGGAAGTTAGCTACTTGGATGATTAATTAAATGAGATGTGGCATAACATCAATGATTGCATAATTCAAACTTACCAAAATAAAAAATGGACGCTACTGCTACATTAAATCAAATGACTCATATACCCCTTTTAAAATCATTGACTGAATATAAGTTCCAATATGTATTCCATGCGTGTGAGTGCAAGATTATAATGATGCATCCCATACGATCAACTGTCCGTTTTTTTAATCAAACGGTTGCTAATTGGTTTGTAGGTTAGCACGGGAAGCATGGTTTGCATGGGATCTCCCCCCTATATATATATATAGAGGAATGATCCTGTCCAGCAGCCCCTGGTCCGAACAGTGTCCGAACATGGCCATTTGGGGCACTTCCCGGTGGAAATTTTTGAGGAAATTTTTTGAGCATGTTCTTGATCAAGTCTAGTTTGTTCATACCAAATTTCAGCTCAAAATTCGTTCGGGAAGGCATTCAAATCATTTTTTGAAGTTGACTGCGTTTTTATATGTATATTTTGACACAGTCAACTTCAAAAAATGATTTGAATGCCTTCCCGAACGAATTTTGAGCTGAACTTTGGTATGGACAAACTAGACTTGATGAAGAACATGCTCAAAAAATTTCATCAAAAAAATCCACTGGGAAGTGCCCCAAATGGCCATGTTCGGACACTGTTCGGACCGGGGGCTGCTGGACAGGATCATTTCTCTCTCTCTCTCTCTCTCTCTCTCTCTCTCTCTCTCTCTCTCTCTATATATATATATATATATATATATATAAGGGAAAGATCAAGTACAAATTGTGCTTATTGTGCAAATGTTTGTACGATACACCTTGACGTTATTTGCATTGCATATTGAGGTTCAAAGCGTTGCATATTATATAGTCATAAAATAGCAGTTGCACATTAACGAACGTTCAACGAGTTGCACCCTAGAAAAGTTAGATTTTATTACAAAAATGTCACATTGCTTTTATATCTTTTAGATCAACTCATCGGATGGTCAAGATAAGTTTGTACTTTGTAAATTAAGCATGGTTTGTATTTGATCTCTATTATATATATATATATCAAATGGAAACAATGTTTAATGTGAGAACGTGAGAACACCACATTTACCCCAATGTGATACACAATGAGGCTCTCCCAATGCACATTTTCGTGTTCGCCATAATATTTACCAAAATGGCACCGTGATTATTTATATTGGCTTGTTTTGAGCAAAGTCAAAATGTGCACCAGACAAGATCTATTGTGTATCACATTGGATTAATTGTGAGTGTTCTCACGTTCTCACGTTAAACATCGTTCTCATTGGAACCGCACCCTATATACAGGGGCGGAGTCAAGGGGGGGTCAAGGTGGTCTGCCGACCCCGCTGAAGGTTCAAGAACGTAGAGCTTTGAAATACCTTTGATTTGATATATTATGGATCTCGTAACTCATTATGAGTAAACAGTTATGATTTCTGGAAAAATCAGCACCATCTTAACGTGAAATAAGCAAAATTTGATGTGTGACGTTGATTATATTCTTAAATTTAAAAATAAAACACTTTATTCAGTCATTAGTTGTGTGAACATTTTGATACGTTACATATATATCAATACATTAACCGAAAAATGTTTATTAAACTACCATTTACACAGCTACATATGAAACATTTAACTCAAGTATTGTATAATAATTATCCCTCATTTTGATACTGTATGCTCCTTATAATTTTATAAATTCTGACCCCCCTGATACACTTGTAATTTCCGTGTGTATGTTTATGTTTTTAGCTAGTTTTAATTGTTTAATATTTCGGAAATTACACACTTTTGGTGTAATAGTCATGTTTGTAAAATAGTTGTAATATGTTTAGATTAGGTCCATTCTGAGTTTAAACAGGTCCAAGATCAATCCAATGATCATTGGTGAAGGAAGGTGCAAGAGTACAAGACAAAAAGAAGGCAAAATCCTGATTTTTGACCTATACTCGATCGAGTATAGCATATACTCGATCGAGTATCTTGTTGAGATTTCAAATCGGATCGGATCTGAAAACAAAGGAACATGCAGGGAAGATTTTGACCACGATCGAGTGTCGATACTCGATCGAGTACACCGACATACTCGATCGGGTATGACTATAAATTATACTCTGAATTCGGTCGAGTATGGGTCGAATTCAAGTTTCTACTCATACTCGATCGAGTATATATACATACTCGATCGAGTATGCCTTTAATTTTAAATCTGAAATCGATCGAGTATACCTCGAATTTGCATTTCTACACATACTCAACCGAGTATCTTTATATACTCGATCGAGTACCCGAGCTGCACTCCCAAAAAGCCTATAAATACACCCCCTTTCCTTCACAATAGATACCAATTCCTATATACTTCTAAGCTCAGTTTAGACAAGTTCTTTCTTTATATTTTTATCATGTTTAGTCTCCAAATGAGGAGCTAAACTCTTCCATCTTGGTTTTGCTACTTTGAAGCTTAATGATTTGTAAGTTGTGAGTTATTTTCTTTAATCTTCTTCCTTGAATATTAATTACTTCCTATTCATATCCCATATTAATATATTGAGCATTACTTAAAGTATCAACTAGTCTTGTTCTATATATTAATTATTACTAGAATCAATCGGTCAATACGCTTGTTATTAATTCGGTTCTTTCAATGGTAGTAAACTTGGATTGCTAATGCATGCTTCTCATGGTTAATAATCTAAGGGGAATTAATTATATTGATTAAACCAATAAACCGCTTGAGTTGAGGTTATCAATCTCAATCGTTTTCATCTTAAGTTTATTGCTACTATCAAGTTAATATATGGCGCTTGTTCTATATTGACTCGATAATAAGTTTTGTTAATGAACGCTTCTCGTTATTGATAACTACCCTCGATGAATTGGATATACTCCTCGATTGAGTATTCGAGAGGAAGATAGTTAAAGATATAACCGGGATCGACGAACATTTCATTAAGTGGATAAAAGCAAAGCCAAGTATTCTTCTCATTAATTAAATCACATAACTCGTTCATCTTCGTGTTAATTTTAATTAAATCACTCAAACCTAAACCCCCCCCCCCCTTTGTTACTAGTTTATAAAGAGAGAAGTATTCCTTTCCCTGTGGATACGAACCTTACTACACTATACTACGTAATAGTGTCGTATTGATTATTATTTTGAGTGCACACCACGACAAAGTGCACGTCAAATTTGGCGCCGTTGCCGGGGAAAGGCAATTATTTTTCTTTTTATTTTATTCAAGAAAAATCAAAAAAAAAAATTAAACAAAAATATAAAGAATTCTTATTTTCTATTTCTGAGCTTTGTTTGAGTATATGGTTAAACACCGATCTATAAACCAAATCACCTACCAAACAAATCCCGAAACAGAACAAGCCTTCGAGAGGTTTAGGAATTTGTTTCCGAATACTTCTTCGGAGGAATCATCAAGTGCTAGCTCCAACTCTAGCGAATCTGTAGAGCCAATCACTATGGCTCAAGAGACAAGAACATTGAGGGAGCTCACAGCTCCGAACTTGAATCAACAACCATTGTGTATTACCTTCCCTACTCTTGATGAGGGTAATACGTTTGAGCTAAAATCTGGGCTCATTCATCTGCTACCATCCTTCCATGGTCTAAGAGGGGAGGATCCGAACAAACACCTCTCAGAGTTTCACATCGTTTGCACAAGCATGTGTCCAAACGGTGTGACTG